TGTTCGAAACGGTTTGGGTCTGCGTGGTATCTTCAACAGCACATCGCCGCTATGCATTCTGACAGTCTCGATTACCCCTGCGATATTTGCAAACAGGTGAGATTTTAAGCCATAAAACACATTTAGTTTAGCATTCGAGGTCCTTGTGAAAGAGTTCCTCCAGTAATGTCAGCATTACTGCGTTCCGGTCTCGAAGGGTAATGGTGCTGGTGAAAGTACAGCCACATGGGACTTATCAACTTATGTCTCAGGGTGACGGGCGCAGTGGCAGTGCCCCTCAAATCTTTGTGATTTAAAGCTCTGAGTGACACTGCAACTGTTATGGACCGACGTGTCGCTTACCACCAGGTGCACGATTTGTTCGTTCCGTCACTTTATATCATAAAAAAAATCAAATTGATTCGTTCTTGATTAGGCCATCGAAAAGAAGTGATCTCAAAAATTAGCCATTATCGTGTTGGTCCTTTGTCTTATTATATACTTCATGAATTGGTCCTTTGTCGTATTGAACAATTTATGAATTGGTTCTTTGCCATGTTGAACATTTTATGAATTGGTCCTTTGTCGTATTAAACATTTTATGAATTGGTCCTTTGTCGTATTAAGCGTTTTATAAATTCGGCGATTCCTTATTAATCAGAAAGGTACACCACTATCAAAGTTGTTGTGCTCTTTACAATGCTACTATTTCATTTCCCTTTTCTGGTGTAATAAATAAACTAAATATTTGTATTTATTGCAGAGATTTAAAACGCGGAAGCGCATGCGCATCCACGTGCGACAGAAACACGAGGGCTACGTTCTCCCGAAGAACAAAGTGTGCGAGATCTGCGCCAAGGCTTTCACCGTTAGTATACTTTGTAAAGACACATTCCAACTCATAGAGCTGTTGGGAATGGGATAGCCTCGGTTTGACGAAAAAATAATTGGTTCGAGTACACCCGGATCGAAGGAATTTTTCTTTGTTTGCTCGATCTTTGTATTAAGAATACCAACAAAGTAGTGGAGGATTTTCACAAAGAATATACGAATATATAATTATAGTAAAAATGTCATGATATTCAATTAATAAATTGCAATAAATCGACCCCTCCTACGTAAAGTATCGTATGTCGAAATTGCCAAGTTTACAGGGGAGCGTTTTAAAGTTCTGAATTCACTGAAAGAGTGATCGCCATAGATCATCTAACCGATATCTAGGATTTTATAATACTCTATGTGAGTAATGAGCTTTGCTGAATAAAACTGAGAAATGCTAAAGTCACGTGTTATGTTTGTTTCAGTTAATTCAGAACTTTAAAACGCTTCCCTGTAAACTTGGCAATTTCGACATACGATACTTTACGTCGGAGGGGTCGAAATATTTAGTCAATAATGAATAAGCCATGCTTCATATTAAAGCGGAATCAATTGATATCCTTTTATATAATATGCTCCCGGACACAATTCCAGCCACCTTACATTTTCAATAATAAATGGTTACCTTAAATAATGCTTGATTGCTCAAAAATTATATTATGCAACTTTGAAATTGGTATATAATAATTGTCTAATTGTCATTTCTTTAAGTCCTTATTGAATTTTTTTAATTATCAAAACTTTTTCTTTAATTATATTTTTATATTCTAGCCCTTTAAGGTTAGAAACGCAAGGTGTAAAAGGTATAAACACTTCCAGGCAATTAATCAGCTTTATCTAGACATAAGAGCGATTACACACGGCGACTTTGAACGCGATGTAAAGGCGATACAAACGCGACGTAAACGCGATGCGCGTTTCAAATTAATTAACTTATTTGTTTGTTTAATATATTCATTAATTTCTTTTTTAAATTTGCTATTAACAAAACAACATAATGTGCTTAAACCTATACAGATTTTTCGTACTCAATTACTCAACATAAGCGATTGTATCGAAGCAATCGCCTATAAATCGCAAGTGTAGCGATGCCATCACGCGTTTCACGAAATCGCTGTTAAAGGTCGCCGTGTGTAACCAATCTAGGACGGAATATTGACCTTTTTCAAAGTTACGATCTGTAGTATGAAGACATCGAGTATATAACCAGAAATAGAGACGAAATAAGGGCCATCCATCTCTGGAAACTCATGAGGCAAAAGGGCTTTATATCACTTTTAAATATCAACTCTCGTTTGCGCTGAAATCACGAATTAGAAAGCTGAAATAGTACAGCGCCAACAACTGGCCTGTGTGTACGTCTCCTTCTATTCCAAAAATACTATGTATTTATTGTAATAAATATAATATCTCTGACAATGACGTGCTGTTCCGTGGTGTGGGGAAAAACAGCAAAACAACTAATCACAAAACAAACGAATTTATATTTCATCAGTAATTAAATAAGTAATTTTTAAATTTTCGTCCATTACGCCAAAGTTTAAGTTAAACTTGTCGATTTGAAGTGCAACAAAACGACACCCGTTCGGGCTGGCCAATCGGAGCGCAGTTGTCACCGTAATGATTTGGCAGAATAGTTGTCAAAGAAATTAAATGACATTTCGTCTCTATTTCTGGTTATATACTCGATGTATGAAGATCAGCAGCCCTCTCGAGTCATTTGTCCATGATACTAACCGACATAACTTATTTTTATTCACAGAGCAAGAAAATGCTAGAAGAGCACATGAATTCTCACACCGGCGCCAGGCCGTACGTGTGTACCACATGCGGGGCCACGTTCGGATACGCGAGTGCATTATACACGCACAACAGACTCAGGCATAAAGTCGGGAAAATTAGAGATAGAGAACAAAATGTACAAAATTAAATAATTTAAAAAAAAGACTATTGTATATATATTACTTGTATGTATATGTTGTTTTATTTCTTAAATATATTAATATCGTACATCGTACCTCTTTATTCTAGAAAGTTGGTTATGGCAGAAGAAGCTTGAAAAGCGAATTAATGCAATGGAAATGAGATCTTTGAGGAAAGTTTGTGGAATAAAGTTGACTGAGACAGTGAAGAATACAATAATAGAGAAATGAATGTTGAGGTGGTTTGGGAATTATTTCTTACATTGCGCGTCATAAAAACAGCCGTTTTTAATACCTTGAAATAAAAGTTGTTTCCCAGCAATTATTTTTGCTGCAAGTGCCTCAGTTTCATGTACAATTGTGTATAACAAATTTTTCTGTTTCCTGGGAGGTTGCTTGTACAACTACATCAATTCAAGAATGATATTAGTATACCATTTATGCACACATGATTGCAAACTTGCCGTAATCAAAAGACTTTCTACCTTGATCTGTGACGCTCCCGAAAATCTAATAAGAGTTCCTAAATAGTACTTTTGAGAAGCCACGCGAATTACAAACTAAAAATAAATTTACGAGTATACTTATATTCAATATACATAGTCATACATATGCGAGCGCTCGTAAAAACACTACTCACGCGCACACCACATACACGCACTCGACTCGTCACCACGTTGTTTACTGTAATACCGTATTTACTATTAATTGCACAAAAAAAAAACGAATTGTATGGGGTGGGAGTCTGAAGATCTGTAACACAGGTTTAATTACCTAGTATGGACTCCAGTCTGTCACTTGTAGCTTAATTTAAATAATAACCAATCTGGAATTATACAACCATCCGGTTGTGAGAATGAATTATAGTAGATTGGTTTACTTCAGCTACTTTCACAGTCTAATGACATACGGCATTTTGCTTTAGGGTAATGCCGCCGATATCAATAGAATCTTTGTCCTGCAGAAACGTGCAGTTAGGGCAATTTAAAATCTGGGCCCCGAAGTATCTTTGAGAGATAAGTTTAAGGAAATTAATATTCTTACACTAGCGTCACAGTACAAAAGTTATTTATATTAAGAAATATATTAATTTTTCATGAAAAATAGTGACAGACATAACATTAATACGAGGAATAGAAATAAACTAGCTGTTCTTGACAGTTGTTTTCACAGTGACAAATTCATTTAAGGGGCAAATTTCAAATTAATATATACGCTTCTATAACAAGATTCCGGTTGATATACAAAATTTGCCTTTCACGAGGTTTAAAACTATAGTGAAACAAAAACTTTATACTAAAGGTTATTATACAACTCCTGCGTACTTGGATCACAAAAATCCGTGGTAGTAACCCGTTTAGCTCATCGAGGTAGTCTCGATCTCTGATGTTAACAAGAAGTATATTGGAAATGTTGAATGTGTACAAATGTTATTAGAGTTTCTTGCTCATTCTTCTCAGGGGAATTTCTCTTACGAATGAGCGATAGAGTTTAACCAATGTGACGATTTCAAGTGTAATAATGCTTACCTATGAAATAAAGATTATTTTGATTTTTGAGTAGTTTATGCGACTGTTACAACGTTAGATAGCAAGTAACGTGAGAAATTTGTCAAAATTATTTGCTATAAAACTTCGTCTCGACTGATATTAGAAATGAGGTCGAAGGAGATTGTTTTGTTTTTCAGATATGGTCGAAATTTTAATGTAATAATAAAATCGAATTTGACGTTATTATGAAGCAATAATAACATTTAAACGGGCCGATACGGGTATTTTAGTTCGAGATTCGTATAATTTCGCGTTTTAATCTTCAATTAAGGCACAATAGCACTATCCTATTCCACTTTAAACTAGATTTCACAAAATAATTGAAAGTCAAAATAAAAACGACACTTTTCCCTCCAAAAGGTCCAGAGCGAAACCCTTATGAAGCAATAATAACATTTTCACAGATAAGAAATTTGTTCTAACAAAACAATTTATCTTTATGCTGGTCGTAATTTGCAGTTAAACACATCATAGAGGGTTTATGATATGTGTGTAGATAAATATTTTATATTTGGGCTTCTTTAAGGGTCTTTTTACACTCTGTGTCGTGTAATCACACGATAAAATAAATTAATATACGTATCAAACGAAGCAGAGTGTCAGAGGAAGTGGAAGAGTAAAAGTGACTTTTTGTGTTATAGAGTTTTTATTTCAAACCATAGCTACATAGTCTGAAGAGTACCCGTTCACTGTTTAACAAAAACACGCTCAAGTTTCAGCTTGCGTTCTGTTATGTAAAGCTCTGATATGTCCGAGTAGAGCAGTGCTTTGGGCGAAGCGTGCACCGCAGTGTGTGCACGCATGGGGTCGCTCGCCAGTATGCGTCCGTAGATGGTTTGTTAGTATCTTGTTCGTCTGAAACACGTTTAAATAAATTAAAAGTGAGAATTTATATTAGTTAACAATTCTGCCCTCCTTGTTATAACCATGGACTATTAAATTTTTTTAATAATAAATCCCTAAACACATTGTCTAATTTTTGATATTTGTATATTTATTTTGACGTTATTCATATTATTTTGACATCTAGTTACCATTAAAATTGGCGCCATCGAGTATGTAGCCAGAAATAGAGTCGAAATGTCACTTAATTTGTTTGAGAACTATATTCTTGCCAAATCATTACGGTGACAACTGCTCTCCGATTGGCCAGCCCGAATTCGAAACAAATGACGTGTGTCGTCAATTGTTTCACTTCAAATCGACCAGTTTAACTTGAACTTTGCTATAATGGACAATAATTGCAAAATTACATATTTAATTACCGATGAAATGTGATTCCGTTTGTTTTGTAATTAAATGTTTTGCTGTTTTTTCCACAGCACCGAATGGAACAGCCTCCGTAGTTAGAGATATTATCTTTATTGCAATAAATATACAGAATATTTTTGGAATATACGGAGACGTACAGGGTCAAGAGCACGTCAAGCTTGACACTAAAGGCTTACATTTAACTCTATGCCGCTTGCAATAAGAACGGTCCAAAGTGTTAAGCTTGATGTGCTCTTGACTGTACACACAGGTCAGTTGTTGGCGCTGTACTATTTCAGCTTTCTAATTTGTGATTTCAGTGCAAACGAGAGTTGATATTTAAAAGTGACATAAGGCCAATTTGCCTGATGAGCTGTCAAGGATGGATGGCCCTTATTTCGTCTCTATTTCAGGTTATATACTCAATGCTGTGGTGTTTCCATTAGGAGGTTTTGTTACGTTATCGGTTATTTTAAACTTACTGAAAACCCTCTTCCGCACATGTAACAGATCTTGTTCTTAGGCACTGGTATGCGTTCGTGGATTCTGCGATGGTGCTTCACCAAATCCGCGTTCCGTATGAAATTCTGACAAAGAAATATGTTAAACAGGATATTTTTCGTTATTGTTAATACAAAGATAGAAAAAAAATGCCTTCATCAGGTCGAAGGACTCGAACCCGTGTCTGTTGCCATGCCTGGGCCACCGCTCTTAACCAACTCTGCCCTCCTTGTCATAATATAATCATCTATAAATACAAAGATCGAACACTTAGAAAAAATTCCTTCGATCCGGCCGGATTCGAACCGACGTCTTCGTGCCAGACTTTTTCCTCGTAGTGAGAGCCTGGCGTCATTAGTCAGATATAGTAGGCTATTATATCGCAGGTATTTTCGATTTTGTATGCGAGCGATGTATCTGTGACGTATTAACTATTAAATAATGTGTGGTTAAGATAGGGAGAGCAGAACTAACGTGCTACCCTGTCTATATCTCAGTTGGGTGGTTTCCAGTCGGTTCCGCGGCAATGTAAATTAAGTCTAACGTGGTAAGTCTGCTGATGACCTCAAAACTAGAGACTTTGATGCTAGTTACCTTGTCACACTCCTCGCATCTGTATTTATAAATTTTGAGATGCACCAAGTTGAAGTGGTCTTTCATGTAGATGTTCTTTGAGAATACTTTGTCGCATCCCTGACACGGTATCCTAGAAAAATATAACAGAAAAAGATCACATGCAGTGTTGTATTTTTGTATTCTTTTTTTTTAATTCAAATTCAAAAGTTTATTTCAGACATAGTCCATATTAGTGTTGGTTACAAAGAAATTCTTACAAACTATGTTAGTACTAAATTTGCGAAATATTACAGTAACTTATAAATTAAACCCCTGGAACCCATGTGGACTGAGTTCCAGTGCTTCCACAATTCACTGACAGGGTTCTCCCAGATCAAAAATTAATTGTAAGATTAATAATACCATATCCATGACTTGAGGTGGTGGTAAGCGACACGTCTGTCCAAAACTATTGCAGTGCCATTCAGAGCTTTCAATAATAAAGATCTAAGGTTCACTGCCACTGCGCTCGTCGCCCTGAGACATAAGTTGACAAGTCCCATATGCCTGTAATTTCACTAACACTCTTACCCTTCAAAAACCGGAACACAGTAATGTTGACATTACTGCTTGGCGACAGAAATAGGTAAGGTGGCAGTACTTTCCTGGACGATCTCTTTCACATGGAGCTCTACTGCTACTATCCGTAAATAACCAGTTATAGCAGAAAATACGAGATACCTTTTGAAAAGGGATAGTATAAATAAGTGAAATTAGTAGCGGTAGACTAACCCAGGGAAGTACTGCCACCTTACCTATTTCTGCCGTCAAACAGTAATGTGAGCATTACTGCGTTCCGGTTTGGAAAGTTAGGGGTGCTGGTGAAATTATAAGCATATGGGGGACTTGTCAACTTATGTCTCAGGGTGACGAGCGCACTGGCAGTGCCCCTCAAGTCTTTGCGATTTATTTATTGTTATAATTATTAATACAAAGATCGAACACAGAATAAATTCCTTCGATCCGGCCGGATTCGAACCGACGTCTTCTAGCATACCGTGCTAGACGCTATACCAACTAAGCCACGGAACGAACCAGCGGACCTCACGACTTTTTCTATGTGTTGATTGTCGTGTCTTTGCATTTGGTTTTTTCAACGACTTTTTAGCCGTAGCGCCATCTATGAGAAAACCTAAGTGATTTGGAGTAATTTCACATAAAAAAATAACTGAATATCAATTCAATAAAAATTGAAATAGTATTGTTGATATTAACTGCCTCTCTGCTTGCCACAGGCCGAGAGATATTTGTATGACCTACATTTATTTCGCTCCTGAGTTTGGTTGTAATTTGTGATTGTCTATGAGCGTGTCCATGGCAACCGCGGTACATGGTCACCCTAGTTCGGGGTTATGAATGTGTGCGTTATTAATAAACATCATAATAATATGGATATGGAATGCGAGCGCAGGGCATTGTCGGTGAGGGCGAACATGCTGGCTCGCCGGTTTGCTCGATGTACGGCGGAGCTGAAAGTTTTTCTTTTTAGAGCCTATTGCACACCCCTGTACGCGGGTGCCCTGTGGACCACCTATACCCAAAGCTCGCCCAGAGCCCTGCGTACTGTTATACGGGGCTTAGTAAGTTTATTTTTGAAAAAACGCAATTTTCCCGAAATTGTATAATTCGGGAAGAACTGGTAAACTAAGTACAATAAAATGAAGAAATAGTATAAGAAATAGAAATGGCACGTGTTTACACGACAGGAGTTTGGAAGGCACTGAGCTGCTTTCTATGGAGTTTTAGTGATATTTAAAGAAGAGTGCTGACTAGAAGAAAATGGCAGGGCTGATTCTAGCAGGTAGTAGAGCTGGGATATAACAGTACGCAATATAATAACGCCTTCACGACGCTTCTGCGGCTGCCACGGTTCTGCAGAGCATCAGCCATGTTAGCTGAAGCTCGCATGGACAGCTTCATGGCACTCTTACGGAAGACGTCGGCGGCTTTATTAAGCTGAATACGTGGCAGTAGCAACGGCATACTGAAGACCGCGTATAGTGAGTGCCCCGTGATGCGGCACTTAATAACAACCACAAAATCCGTAGTAGAATTTCAGTACTAAACTAATTATAAGCTATTTTTGTTACTAACACTTCATGGATCCCTGTTGTCCGCAATAAAGGTTTATTATTATTATTATTATAAACAATATTTCATGCACAAAAGACCAAACTCAGATGTCCCTTGCCTAACTAAAACTGTTAAGTTATTGCTTAAGTGTCGATACAACCTCAATTTGGTTGATTCAGCATAACAGTAAAAATGTTGAATTAATCATTTTGGAAAAAATATATAGGAAAATTGATTATACAATACACCATTGACTTACAATTATATGGACGTCGAGTCCGCGCTAAAAAGTGTCCGAACTTATATGGCGTTAAAACCGTATACAGAGCGTCATTCACGCTTTAGTCTTCGTTTGTTCGACTGACAGCGAAGCAAGCAAAATTAGACAGTACTGCGATGACGTTACAATTTAAATTCAACGTTTTAGCTTTTTCATATTCCTTTACATGTCACTACGTTTAAATAGGTTGACTTGGGACATTGTTTTCGTGGTTTTTGTATTAGACCCGTCGTCCATTTATTTGTAAGTCAATGATATACACTGATCTTTCACGATAGAAAACAAAACACAAACATACCTCGATATTTTACAAGAAAACCGCTGTATTCAATAAGTACTTTACATATACCAATGATTTTTTTTTATATCAACTGAATTAAATAAAACGCGTACAGCATACGACAGTGGCGAGGCGTCCATATAACTCGATTCCCACCGGCTTGCCTAAAATTTTCCACGTATCATCAAATATTTTAAAGTAATTAACAACACTTAAGTTTGCTACAGTGAAATAAAGTGTACTGGTATATATTGTGTGCTAATAAGTTTGTTAAGGCAAGTGTTCTTTGTTTTGCTCCGGTTTTACTAAAGACAATTTCATTCAATCACGCCTCGTTGCTGGTACACGATATACATTTTTCAAATGGGTTTAACTTCATTTGTAAAAAAAAATATTTCTGAAATAAAGGTGCTCGCCGCTCGACCCGCGCAATAGAATCGATGCTTCTCTCTTCGTCTCTTAAGTCATAAGCAACTTACCGAACTTTTTTCCTGGGTTTATGCCTCGTGCTATTGGCTAGATGCCACCTGTATCTATAGACGTCTGGATATTCCTTGTCGCACTCCACGCAGTAAGCTGGTTGTACACTGGTGCTGTGGGTGGTCTTGTTATGAAGCCAGAGGCCATTGTATCGGGCGAAACGTTTCTTACATTGCTTGCATTCAAAGGGCGAATGTTGTTTCCTACAAATAATAATTTCATAGATGGCGCTACGGCTAAAAAGTCGTTGAAAAACCAAATACAAAGAGACAACAAGCACGTAGAAAATGTTCGTGAGGTCCGCTGGTTCGTGCCGTTGCTTAGTAGGTATAGCGTCTGGCACGGTATGCTAGAAGACGTCGGTTTGAATCCGGCTGGATCGAAGAAAATTATTTTTCTATGTGTTCGATCTTTGTATTAATAATTATAACAAACTTGTGGAGAAATCTCACATAAAAAAATAATTGAATACCACTAGTTTGTTATAATTATTAATACAAAGATCGAACACTCAGAAAAAATTCCTTCGATCCGGTCGGATTCGAACCGACGTCTTCTAGCTTACCGTGTCAGACGCTATACCAACTAAGCCACGGAACGAACCAGCGGACCTCACGACTTTTTCTATGTGTTGATTGTCGTGTCTTTGCATTTGGTTTTTTCAACGACTTTTTAGCCGTAGCACCATCTATGAGAAACCTTAAGTAATTTGGAGTAATTTCATTTTTAAAAAAACGCAATTTTCCCGAAATTGTATAATTCGGGAAAAACTGGTAAACTAAGTACAATAAAATGAAGAAACAGTATAAGAAATTGAAATGGAATTGGCACGTGTTTACACGACAGGAGTTTGGAAGGAACTGAGCTGCTTTCTATGGAGTTTTAGTGATATTTAAAGAAGAATGCTGACTAGAAGAAAATGCTAGATGAAAATGGATCGAAGGAATTTTTTCTGAGTGTTCGATCTTTGTATTAATAATTATAACAAACTAGTGGAGTAATTTCACAAAAAATAATTGAATATCAACTCAATAAAAATTTAATAAATTGAATACCAGTTCAATAAAATTTAAGTAATGATTTATTTGGCGCAAGCGAGCGACTCGTGAACAGTCCTGCCTGCGCGTACGCGACAGATCTTTGACGTCAAAGGCGTTGAGTTAAAGTCACTTCCGCGTGTTTCGCTCGCTCCAATGGATGGCTATCAAAAGGCGCGAAATTTCAAAAAGCTCACGCGCACTGTATCTATTTATACACAACATATTGTATACCAAGTTTTATATTAATGCATTGTGTGTGACCGTCAGGATGGCTGGTCGCCTGTGGCGTCTGGCATTGAGTGTTTATTCAAGAATTGCTGCCTTTTTCTATTTTTTCTGAATAATTGCTACCTTTAATATAATCTAAGAAATTTAAAAAATAATTGACGAGCCATTCTGATAGCAGGACGGCTGGTCGTCACTTTGTTCAGCATGAAGGGAGCAGATTTTCCAGAAGTACGTGTTACCAATAATTGCTACCTATTTGCTAGTTTCACGAATTAAAGGTATACGCATTGACTTCCAATTATATGGGCGTCGGGTCCGCGCTAAAAAGTGTCCGCACTTGTAAGGCGCTGAAATCGTATTCAGAGCGCGACACTCCGCTTTAGTCTTCATTTGTTCGACTGACAGCGCGATACTGCGATGACATTACAATTTAAATTTCGAATAAGTTGACTTGGGACATTTTTTTTGTGGTTTTTATATTAGACCCGTCGTCCATTTATTTGTAAGTCAATGGGTATACGCTTCCTAATAGTTAAAAAGTTAGTTAGTTAAAAAAATATAAACGATTGAAATTTTTACCAAGAAGTGCCAACGCCTGACCTTTATATTATGGCAATAAAACACTAAAAACTTTTGCTTTTTTTAATTTAATCAGGCAGTTCTTCATTAAATTTTCAATAGGTTATATTTTTTTTAACTAATGTAGATAAGAAGCGTAAACCTTTAATTCGTGAAACTAGCAAATAGGTAGCAATTATTGGTAACACATACTTCTGGAAAATCTGCTCGTTTCATACTGAACAAAGTGGCGACCAGCCATCCTGACGTCAGAATGGCTGGTCAATTTTTTTTTTATTTCTCAGAATTATCAAAATTCTTAAATATACACTCAGTGCGAAACGCCACAGGCGACCAGCCATTCTGACGGTCACCATTGTGTAAGGTAGGCTCACCATGGACCCCCGGCCTTCATTGCATGTACCACAGGTTAACAAACCCTACAATAATAATAAAAAACAGTGCATTGGACTTACCTAATATGGTTCTTGATGCAATATCTCATCTTGAAAGTGATCCCGCAATGATCACAAGTGAACTTCTCGTGCCATTCTTTAAAATGTGCGAAGAAATCTTTCCGACATCTAAAAATTAACTACCATTTAAGAAGTCACTAAGTTATCGATACAGAATTTTAACTGAAAGAAAGTAACATTCTTAAACTAGCGACACACTACATTTATGATAGGCGTGTATTTAAATGATCTTTTTAAATTTGCAAAAGCATAAGCCAAAAAAAATTAAACGGTCATCTTTTTTAATAATTGATCCTCTTTCTCTAAGATAAAATAAATTAATTCAATGGATTTTAATCTGCACTGGGCTACGCAAAAAATGTTTTTGACATATACAAATTAACTTTGATAGTTTTATGTTGGGCCTCAAAACTAAGACAAATGAGCATTCATCTTTTTTTTATAATATCAAGTGACGGGACGAACAAGACGTGCACCTGACGGTAAGCTACACGTCTGTCCATAACAGTTGCAGTGCCACTCAGAGCTTTAAATCGCAAACATCTGTGGGGCACTGCCACTGCGCCCGTCACCCTGATACATAAGTTGATAAGTCCCATGTGCCTGTAATTTCACCAGCACCCTTACCGCTCAAAACCGGAAAACAGTAATGCTGACATTAATGCTTGACGGCAGAAATAGGTAAGGTGGCAGTACTTCCCTAGACGAACCCTTTCACAAAAAGCTCTATTGCTACTAAAATGTAGATACTTATATTTTTTAAATTAAGTAAGGTTGATTATATTTATATATTATTATTGTATTAATTATAATATAATTTGAACTGAAAACACGTTCGGAAACCCAAGCAAATTGGATTCTGGTGTTCCCCGGCCGCTGCCGGTTAATGGAAATGGGTGAAATCCAATAAACCGGTTCATCCCCTAATTTGTCACCCCTTAAAGGGGGAACATTTTCTTCAAATTTGAATCGAACTTCTATTGAGGCCCATTTCCATCAAAAAAAGAATTATTGAAATCGGTTCACATAAATGTGCTGTACGGGAAATGTCCAATCGAATTGAGAACCTCCTCTTTTTTGAAAGTCGGTTTAAACTGTAATTTATAATAAGAATAGTATTTTGTTTTTATGAAAAAAATCTTCTCATAAATTACATCTTTCGATCCGCGGGATATGCGAGAATGAAAAAAGTTTTTTGAAAATTGAAAAAAGCCAGATGGTACGGATTGTCTGAGGCTGCTGGTTCGAGTCCGGCCGGATCGAATGAATATTTATTACTGTTTCTATCTTTGTTATAATAATTATAACAAACTAGTGGAGTAATTACACAACATCGAGTATATAACCAGAAATAGAGACGAAATGTCATTTAATTTGTTTGAAAACTATTCTGCCATACCCTTACTGTGACAACTGCACTCCGAGTGGCCAGCCGGAATTCGAAACAACTGACGAGGGTCGTCAATTGTTTCTATTCAAATCGACCAGTTTAGCTTTGCTATAATGGACGTAAATTAAAATATTATATAATTTAATATTTAATTACCGATGAAATGTGATTCCGTTTGTTTTGTAATTAGATGTTTTGCTGTTTTTCGACAGACCACCGAAAGAAACAGCACGCCATTGTCAGAGATATTTTATTTATTACAATAAATACGGAATATTTTTGGAATATACGGAGACGTACACACAGGTCAGTTGTTGGCGCTGTACTATTTCAGCTTTCTAATTTGTAATTTCAGTGTCCACGAGAGTTGATATTTATAAGTGATGTATCACTGATGAGTTACCAGGAATGTCTGGCTCTTGTTTCGTCTCTATTTCTGGTTATATACTCGATGTTTCAAAAAAAAAATTATTTAATATCATGGTTGTAAAAAATCGTGACATTTAATACAAACTTAATAATAGTTTATGTGACTGTTACGTAATGAAAGGCATTAAGTTACGAGTGTGGGTGTGTATCACACGAGTGTTTTAATGCCTAATTGTGTACAGTTACATTCACTGCTTTATCTACACACATATTATAAGCTCTCTGTGATGTGTTCAGGAACCGCAGTTACGACTGGCGAAATGGCGGCAAATAAAAACTTTTCTCGCGCATGTCACAACACTGTAGTTTTTATTTAATACATAGACAAACTAGAGTCGGCCCCAACTATCATATCGTTCGATATCAAGTAACGTGTGAAATTGTCAAAATTGTTTGCTATTGACATTTTTCATTTCGAATAAAACTTCATCTCGACAGATATTAGAATTGAGGTCCAATCAAATTGTTTTGTTTTTCAGATATGTTCGAAATTTGAATGTAATAATAAAATCGAATTTGACGTTATTATGAAGCAATAATAACATTTTCACAGATAAGAAATTTGTTTTAACAAAACAATTTATCTTTATGCTGGTCGTAATTTGCGGTTATTGAACCCATCATAGAGGGTTTGTGATATGCGTGTAAATAAAAATATCTAAGAGATTATCAAACGTTACACAAAGTGCTGTTATAACGTAATCAATTTATGATTACTTATAAAGTATTAAATTACAATACTTACTTAAACAACAAATCACACGTTAAACACTGCAGTAACTTAATATGTTGTTGTTCCAAATGTGATTGTCTATCTTTCTCCATGCAGATATGATCGCACAAAATACATTTATAGCTATTGTTATGTTGTTGTATATGCCTTGATAACTGTTTCTTAGATTTCAAATAGGCATTACATAGAGCACATATGCAGGGGTTTTTATCCTATAAAAAAGAATATTAAATATACTGAGTGTTTTTTTTTCAAAAGGGGCAGTATGGGGATATCCGAAACCATAAAAGATACAAGGAAATTGTCTTAGGAGCCATTAAATCTTTTCTTGTGAAAATTGTTTTTGTTGTTGTCCATAAAAATGCTATGTCACTCATCTTTATAAGACTAATTGAGAACCTTCTCCTTTTTTTGAAGTAGGTTAAAAATAACATTGTCAAGACAAGAGCACATCAAGCTTGACACTTTGGACCGTTCGTATTGCAAACGGCATAGAGTTAAATTTAAACCTTTAGTGTCAAGCTTGACAAGCTCTTGACCCTGTACTTGTTTTTATATAGGTACTTGCGTATTTAAATACATTAGTTATTTAAAAAATAAGCACGAGACAATGTATATTTTGGAATGTTTATAAGCTAAACAGTAAAGAAAGAAAAGAAGGATGGCGAAAGCTGCCCCAATAACGACGAAGAGCCGTTCGTGGACTTTGCTAGTATAATTTTGCGTTTTAGTTTATACCTAGTTACCTAGTGTTTTTAAAAGTCGGAAATAAAGAAATTGTAAAAGATTGTATTTTAGAAAAGATGCAAAAACACAACGCAATTGATTCTGTTCGATCATAGATTAGGGAACGTTCTTGTAAGTACGTTTCATTTTAAGCAGGATTGAATGTTTGTACACACGTAAAACATTAAAACTATAAAATACCTAACCAAATAATCAATTAAACAGTAATGGAATAAAGCAAAAAATAAAACACAATGTGACAAAAATATTTAGACAATATGTAATTGAGAGATAATGAAAGTTCTTCCTTTAAATACTATGGCTTCATCGAAACAAACGATGATTTCGCCAATGTCAAGTAAATTTTTACTTGACATTGGCTATCTGCGGTAGTTTTGTAAAAATATGACTTCTACTTTATGATGTTACAATGCCATCGATACCATAGCGGTAAACCCGCTAATGCCAAGTTGAGGAACGCACACTTTTTTTAACTTAAAGATTGAATGGTAAATTCCGAAAAAATTCACTGAGAGAATCTACAACAACAGCGTACATACACAGACTATTACAGAAACAAATTATTTTTTTAAATAAACTTACACAGTTTGTTATACTTATTAATACAAAGATCGAACATTCAGAAAAAATTCCTACGATCCGGCCGGATTCGAACCGACGTCTTCTAGCATACCGTGTCAGACGCTATACCAACTAAGCCACGGAACGAACCAGCGGACCTCACGAATTTTTCTATGTGCTTGTTATTAAATAATTGAATACCAATTCAATAAAAATTTAAAACTTACACAGGACAAAGACAAACGAAGAGTGGACTAACGTTAAGAGGAAGTTGATATTAACGGGACGGGGGATTTTAGAGGGGTGGATATCATACAGAGGAGCGACGATACGGTTACAGTCAAAAAACAGGTACTCAATTAGCTTTTTTGATGCTTTGATAATGTATCACAAATACCGATAGGTCTCTAAAGCACGTCGTCAAAAACACTGGGTCACAAAATACACGGGATGTCGCCATCCTTCTTTATACGCTTTGATGACGAAATGGGTATGTCCGTACTTAGAAAACGGTCATACTTTAGAGTGGTTACACACGACTTTTACCAGCGACGCAAACGCGATGCAATAGCGATGCAGTCGCTAATCATCTACCTTTACACACGCGCGCGATTTTAAGCAGCGATGGTTTTTTTAAGTAAATTGTTATTGTGTGGACGGCGGCGCAGCAGTTCGACCTTGTTCCATCTGTAATATAATAGTAGCAAATTTGTAGTGCAACTGTTTAGTGATGAAAGAGACTCAGTTTTTTAAGGCCTTTTAAAAAACCTCGACTAATTTTTAACGCTTCACGACTAGTCTAGTCTTTTAACCCTCAAGTCTTGAGTATAAGACTAAAACTGAAGACTAATTCGAGTCGAAGTCTTTTAACCCAAGGAAGCTTAAGACTTATAGGACTAAAACAACTAAAACGACTGGCGACTCCTAGCCTCGGGAGTCGCGAGATGAGCCGTATGGCGTGATTTTATTTCTACCCACAAGGTATTTATTTTACGATTTTCATTATAAGTAAATAAACGTGATTATTTACTACACATACTACTTACGTCATTTTTATTTATAAACTTCGGGTTAAGGGATAAGACATAAAATAGGTATAAGTCCTCGAACAACTCGAGTCGTTTAAGTCTTTCAAGTCGTTTAAGTTTTTTGAGTCTTTTAGTATAACGACTAAGTTTTATTAATAAAAACTCGAATCCCCAGTCTTAATTTTAGAGTTGACTCCTGTAAAATGGAGTCGAGTCGTTATAAAACGCCTTAAAAGACTGAGTCTCTTTCATCACTACAACTGTTGCACTTGATGTACCGCCGACGGTACATAGCCGCGCGCAGCTTGCTTGCGCAACCAATTAGGTGTCGGCAGAATATCATCGCTGCATACTTATAAAGTTGGCAGCATTGTGCTGAGCCGAAACCTTTTCAGTACATTATTTGTTGTAACTATCCTTTTCTTGTTATATGTAATGCTGTGTGTGAAGCGCATCTTTTATTCGGAACTCAAGAGGGGCAAGCGAAAGCATGGCGGCCAACTCCTTAGATATAAAGATGTGATTAAGCGCCACATGAAAATATTGCGATATTGACCCAACAGAGTGGGAGAAACAGGCAGCCGATCGCCCACAACAGAGATCTTTTGTGGCAAACAAAACGTCACAATTTGAGACTCGTCGACGAATTGAGTTGGACGTCAGACGTGACGAGCTGAAAGTCTAACCATCTGTGGCAATCAGCTACTATTACATTGACGGCGTGCTCCCTGTGCGCACGGATCTTTGAAATAAGATTGGGTACGTGAGCTGAAGCAGTTGCCGTGGCCGAAAACGGTCAGGAGAATATCAATGCTGTGATGTAATGTGCTGAATAAATGCTTTATCTATCTATCTATCTATCGCTGCTAAATGTCGCCATGTGTCCACTCTTAGGTACACTAAGAACTTCAATTCCGATCACTGGTTATAACAATTGTGCATATTACAAACAGATTGTGTTGTCTAATTTGTTAAATCTCCTTAGTTCTAGGAAAAAAATTGTGCAAAAATGTGTGTGCATACAAGCCGCGCCGGTACGCTTGTATGAAGATACACGTAATTCTAGTATGTATACATTTCTTATCCAGCCAAAAATAATCATACAACTTACCTCTCTATGCCATTTTCTATTATGAAGTAAAAACAACTCGTCATCATCAAATCCAGCCATACATTTCTCGCATTTAAACGTTGATTTTTCATAATCACCATCTCTTTTACTAGTTACATTTTTGTATATTTCTATCTCTGTCACTTTATAAAATATAGCATCTATTGTTATGTCATTATGTGTCACAATTTTAAATTTTGGTTTTTTATTTAATAAAGCTCGCTTTTTAGCCCATCGATTTATCATCTTCTTTTTTAAATTACTTTTAGCTTCTTCGTTAATATCTATTTGCAATTCCGTATCATAATATATTGAATCAATATCATTGATGTCATTAATTTGTAGAAAATCTGTTTGTTGTAAATCATTATTCCGTAGAATATGTTTTTGCTGTAAATCATTATTTTCTTGTTTTTCATCAATATTTATCTTGGTTTTTGTGTCTACTTGGATATTTGTTTGATTGTTGATGTATATCGTATGTGGATTTGTATCATTTAGAATGATTGTTGTTAGACTAGATAATGTCCCGTAAATGTAATTCTGAAATTAAAAAAAAACCGCTTTTTTAACCCAATACAGATGTTTAACAATGCATACAAATGTTTCATCAGCTGGAGACAAATTTGACCAACCTGTTCAAGAAGAAAGACATTGTTGGCTCTCGCAACTTTACGTTGAAATTCTTCTACTTTGCGAAATACTGCTGCACATTCCCAGCATATTAAATATTGTTCTACATTACTCTGGAACAAAATACTGAATTAATCAAAGTATAATTTCAAGCATCTTTTCAATTTATATCCTATTACAACGAAACCAACATAAAAATTACCAGGAATTAATGATTCTAAAACTTTGTATCCCTAATAATTTCAATCGGAAATTGACGCTAGATGAGTGAAGTAGTAACATCGAGTATACAACCAGAAATAGAAACGAAATGCCATTTAATTTGTTTGAAAATTATACTGCCAAATCATTACGATGACAATCATCAGTCAATTGTTCCACTTCAAATCGACCAGTTTAACTTAAGCTTTGCTATAATGGACGAAAATTACATATTTAATATTTAATTACCAATGAAATGTGATTCCGTTTGTTTTGTAATTAGATGTTTTGCTGTTTTTCCCACACCACCGAATAGAACAGCTCCCCATTGTTACAGATATTATCTTAATTACAATAAATACAGAATATTTTTGGAGTATATTTCAGCTTTCTAATTTGTGATTTCAGCGCAAACGAGAGTTTATATTTAAAAGTCATATCAATACCATTTGCCTGATGAGTTGCCAGGGATTATGTTAATTTCAAAAAGCTCATATAAACTTCTTGGTCATTTTCAATTGTTCGAACTACAAGCGATTGAAATATTTAGAACAAAGAAACTATAGTCTCTTTGATTTTAATCTTATTTTGAAAATTTTTTTTTATTATAAGTTAGCAATAACTAACAAAATATTGTTGTACTCATTTTCAAAAGTCAGAAAATACATTTGCCCAAAATAATGTTAGCGCGAACTTTCATAATGTCAAACGTATTTTTTTAGGAAGATTACAAAACAAAAGCTAATTTTGTCTTTGTGAAAACATCAAAAATTACTCGAAAGCGTATTACTTTATTATCGACTTAATAATCTATACATAAATTAATTAATATTTACGAGAAAGGCTACTCCATTACTCTTGTGTTCAAGTAATTTTCAGTCGAAGCTACATATGGTGCATTTTGTTAAGTTTCCAGTAGAAGCTGAATATGGTGTTTTGGACCCTTCAATTGTTGCAAGCAAAATTAGACAGTACCGCAATGACATCCATTCGTTGGTAGGTCAATGATTTACAAATTATATAACACAGGGTAACTTGTAACACACTAACAATGTGGCTGGACTGTATTAGTGACATCATAAACAACTTTTGTTCTATGACTTCTAATAATAATCAGATTTAACTGTCGTACAAAAATAACATTTTTGCAATAGAAACAGTAACCTTGAAATTTTACAAGAAAACCGCTGTATTCATTACGTACTTTACCATTTCAATGTTTTCTTTTATATCAACTGAAGTAAACAGAACACACGTAGTATATGTTACACTTTTTTTTTATTATAACATCAAGTGACGGGGCGAACAAGTTGTACACCTGATGGTAAACTACCTGTCCATGATAATTACAGTGCCACTGAGAGCTTTAAATAGCAAAGATCTGAGGGGCACTGCCACTGCGCCAGGCACCCTGAGACATAAGTTCACAAGTCCCATGTGCTTGTAACTTCACCAGCACCCGTACCCTTGAAAACCAGAACACAGTAATGCTGTAATACTACGTAAGACAGAGTCCCTGCCGTTCGACCCACGCAACATAACCGATTCAATATGAGAAACACATATCCAAGACCCAATATCTGGGTAGTTTTTTATGTTACCAATGCAAATGCGTCAATTAGTTAGTATGTAGGCAGTTACTATGTCGAATTTGGCTAGAGTATAGACCGGATAATACTTCCATCCTAACTTGGGCAGGCAGGAAGGAACTTACCTGATGAAGATTTTCCAAAGTCAGTTTTTTATAAATATCACCATATATACCTAAAGGCACAAGTCTCCGACCGATGCTAAGACATGTGCGACATTGTGGCTGCTCATTTTTACCAAATTTGTGCTTAATTTCTACTTCTTCCATGTTTTTTATCGAAATATGCGAGGCGCAATTCGAATTAACGACTTTTGTGCGTTTTGCGTAAAATTTAGTTTATTACTTGTAAATGATGTGTAAAAATACACAATTTCATTTATTTAATATTAATGAAAATTGTGGGAAATGGAATTAAAAAATACGAAAGTGGTACTTAAGAAACAAAAAATGTCAATATTACGCCAATTTTTTATTTGTCAAAACAGAGAGTATTGGGGGTACAAACTATACAGCCTGGTTTTTAGAACTAAGACCTTAAGGAAAAATCGGTATGTCATAATTATTCAAACACACTTTTTTATAAAAACATAGTTGTTAATTAGCCCTGTATTTAAAAAAAATATATAGCAAATGCCACGTGAAAAGCAAACATTATTTTCGTTATTTGTGTTAAGCCATTAGGTTATTCTAAGTTATTAGTTTGAGAGGTAATTTTTTTAAAGCATTATCATTATTATCATATTACGTTAGCCGTTTATCTCTCACAAATTATCTGCATTCTATGGGTTTTGAGATCTTTCAAACCTGCACCCAACAATGCAATACGTATGATACGTTTACACGAAACTAAATCGGCATAAAACGGCCTACGTAAATATTTCTTTTTAATAGCAGTGGCAGTGGTGCGACCATGCGCGCCTAAAAATTTAATGTCAAATGCGTTCCTTTCTCAGTGATTTTCCAAAAATATATTACATATTACAATAAATTCTTATTACAATATTGCTACTGATAAATATAACAAACTTTCAAAACGCTTTATGTAACAAATATTTTTACATTTTACGTCTGTGGACGTATTTTATACTGAAAATAATAATAAACAACGAATTAATAAGAATCAAGCATTGCCAAAGTGAAATGGAACGTTATAATCCGCCTTTCTCTCTTGCTTGTTTCTCCGACGTGAATAAAAGTAAAATGTCGAAATTTATTGAGATAAACTTGACGGAACATGGCAAAGATCAAAGCTTAAATAAGTCAAAGTCTCCAAAACAAACATATTGCATTTGCTGCTTGACGAAAAGCATGAAATTTGTGGAATTGAGAAAATGTCAACATTCTCGATTTTTGGTTATTTTCTTTAGGAGAAAGGTAAATAATAATATATTGATTATTCATTATCATTCAATTAATATTTAAATTCAATCCTCGTTACATAGTAAATAATAAAAATGCATATTTATTTGATTTCTCGTTGAAATGTTTACCATGTATTGATATAGTCGTGACACTATAGATTGGTGTGTGTCAAAATGGCCGAAATTCAGAACTTCGGAAATGTATTTTTGCTCAGTTTAAAGCAAGCCATTTGATTCAGTTATATTTTTATTCTATATTACAAATGTTTTGAACCGTTTTTACATTTTTTAGTTTGTCATAATGAACGTAAAAGCTGCAATAACAAAATGTATAATATTCAATCGGCGCATACAGTTTTAATTACAGTACGCACACTGCCGACTAAACGCGCTGCAAATCTTCCCATTGTTCATATTTTTGCACAATATTGCATGCATAAAAGCACAATGGTCAACACCGACTCGTCCGCACCGTATTTAAGTACGCGCCGCAAGTTCTGTGTTGTAATTTTAATTTTTTTATGAACTTTAAATTTTTGACACATTTGCATTAAAAAAAAGAATATTATGCAATTTAAAAAAGCACTCATTTATTACTTTCGCGGTCATTAACACAACTAATAATATTATTTAACATTTTTTTTTTGCCACACGACTTTTTCGTTGTACAGTATTCCTCGAAAGGTATCTTTCCTTTCTTTCCTTATGTATAATTATTCAAGATTCTCGTTGTAAATGTACAAAAATTCCGTTGATTTTAAAACAAAATATTACTTATATATTTTCAGATAAAAGAAACTAATGTAGTGTGCTATAATTGTCACAAATTCCTTATGAACATAGAAAGGTTTCGAGAACAAATACAAGAAAGTTTGAGTTTGTTACAAAGGAATAGAAGTGTAAGTAAACTATGCTATCTATAAAATTTTATTTGGTTTTTGCATTTTAGTAGTTATAAAAAGAAGCATCCACTTTCGTAGCTAGATACAAAAAGAGAAAAAAAGTAAGCCTTTTTCGTAACTGGTTATGGAAAGAACAAATCTGCATCCGTTTTCGTAACTGGAGTTTTGAATATGGATTAAATATTCCTTTTAAATAACTGATTACGAAACAGTGAGGGAAAAATCTTTCGTAACTAGTTTAGTTATAAAAAACAGTTACGTAGATTGACCAAAGGGTTTCTTTCGGTCTTGTGCCGCTTTCAATCATTCGAGCACGTTCAGCTCCTTCAGGTCTTTGGCGACTACATCCTTTCAGCGATATCTCGGACGGCCCACTAGACGATGACCCGTAGGATGCTCCAAATACGCTCTTTTAGAAGGTCCTCTCTAAGAAATTAATA